TTCCTCAGGTCACTGAAGTAAGCTTTAAGGTTATATAATATATTATAATATTAATTTTTGCCTCTGATGAGGATGTCCCTCAGTTTTCTCTGCTGTGCCATTCACAGATACTATGACTGCTCATGTGACCTAAAAGCAGCCCTGAGTTTCATCCTGCTCTCTCCCAAACCACCATTCTGCATCCCCCCACGGACAGTGGAGCACAGCAGCAGTCACCAGGGAAAGGGAACATGCCTGAAGTGGGCAGCTGAGAAACCTGTAAAGTTGGCAAGCCACTGTTTGTATGGAGATTGATTGTGAGAAAGCAAGGTAGTGGTTGCAGAAAAAAAACCAAATATCTTGGGTGAGAACCCATAACAATTCAAATAGGAAAGGGGACGTTGCTGTTGATTTTTAGAAACTTATGTGCTATGTTAGAACTTGCTCTGGATGCAAAGGGCAAGAGATGAGGGAGCAAATCCCCTTGTGGGCTATTAGATCAGTTTGGTTAGGGGAGGAAGGGATGAGCACACATCAGATAATTGTAGGAAGGAAAAGCACAGTAGAAGTATACAAGTGACCTCTGTGGTAAGGCTGTCTGCATGGCTCCTCTCAGCTTTGTTTTTCCAGTTATTAGGTGTGATATGCAGGCAGGGGAAGGTTTTCCCTAGAGGGCCCCCTCTCACCACTTACAGAGCACTCACAAATCACACAGGCTCACGAAAGGCTTGATGTGTTTCCTGTCTAAATGCAACTCAGCACAGGATGGGCCAACAGCCCTGGGAAGGGTGATGGGAGATGGCAACAGCTAAACAAGACACAGGTTTCTGTTGGGATACAATATTGAATGTTTTTTAATTTATTTCTGTTTAATTTTTTCTCATTTTGTTGGTTTTTTTTATCATGTTTTTCTTTGGGTTTCTCTCTGTTTTACAGTTCTTTTGGGCTCTTCTTTTGAGGCTGTGTTTGATGCGTTGGCTTCCCATCCGCTGCTCGTAACCATCTCTGCTATGAGTTGTGAGTGAGCCATCACCATGCTTCTGGGTTTTCATTTTGGTTTGTGCTTTTGTTATATATGGAAGTCCAAATTACACCTGGTTTTCTTTTTTCCCCTCATGATCTGTTTGTTTTTCAGCAGGATTGTGACAGCTACCTAAATGTGATGCAAAGGCCTAGAACACTTGGGGTTCTCTCTGAGGAGCTGGCAGATATTTGGGTGGTGCCAGACTGATTTTGTCAATTCTGTGGTTTCAGAGACAAAGGGAGGGGAGTTTTCTCATCTTACTTTTCTGTCTCCAGCTTCCTCTAGTCATTTCTGACTCCCTGTGGACATAAAATATAATGCAGTCATTAATGATTCCACAAAATTCTGCTTTTTAAATTAAGAAGTCAAAATGCATAAAAGAGGTGTGGATTTTCTCCCCACCAGAAGAGGTGGAGAGGCATCTCCTTCATGAACCTGTCTGAAGAAGTAGGAGGTTCCTAGAGGTCACAGGAATGCTTCCTTTTAGTTCAGCTAAGCTTTCTTTCACTTTTCCTTCTTACCACAACCTTTCAACACAAGTCATTTCTATCCAAGAAATATCTCCAAATGCTTTCCATGATCTGTGGCATCTCCTCTCTCATTACCACCTTCTCTTCAAACTGTGCTAACTTTTTTTCACATTCTTATTGCTGAAAGTCCTTTTCCTGATTCCAGGAGAAATGGGTTAATATCCTAGATGACAGCAGGCCTGCCAGGGGCAAATGTTGTGCATCTCATGAGGTGTCTGCACAGGCTTCCAGAAAGCTGGGGAGGAACCAATGCTCATGGTCATGAGAGCACCACAGTCACAAGAAACAGCAGGAGGAAAGTACTGGCATCCAAATACAAGTTTTTAGGAAGGCACATTCAAAATATCCAGTTTCCTTTTGCTGATGAGGCAAAAAAGGAATAATTTTAGTCTCTATGAATGAACATAGTGTGAGGAGCAGGGATTCACATTAATGAGAAAATATGAGCACTCCTCAAATAAAAGGGGAGTGTGCAGGAAAGACAGACTTCATGTGAGTCATGAGGGGGACACTGTTGGCACTTGAAATACAAATGATCCTGAGTGTTTAACCTGGAGAATGATGGGTGTATAAGAACACAGTTTGGAAAACACTTCCACTTCATACAGGATTTTGTTACCTACTTCTGTCTCTGTCTGTGAGGTGGTCTACATTGCTAATGCAGTGAAAGGAACACAGAGTATAGGTTTTGCTCTGTGGTGGTGTTCTAACACATTGTCCTGAGCTGAAACTCATTTTAAACCAAGTTTCTTACACAGTGCAGCACTGTGTAGTAAAGTACTTTAGCTTTGTGGTACACACAATCTCAGTGAGAGAAGAGATATGCTTTATAACGTTTTTTTATATTAACACTGATGTGGTAAAAAAGAATCACCTATGGTTTGAAGTTATATTTCACTTTGCTAGCTTATTATATATTTATAATTTTGGGGATTCAAATCACTTGGATTATATATGTCTCCATTGTCTGAAGCTCCTAAGTGTTTCAATTCTGTCTCAACTCTGGACTGGTCTGGACAAAAAGGATGCTGTATCCAGGCTCTTTCCCACTGCTGACCAGTGCAGTGGTGGGATGAAGTTTATTAACTGGAAGAAATGGAGTGTGTAAAGAAATCATCTGGAAAATTAATGTTTGTGAATTCCGAAGAAAAGTCAATAATAGTTGGGTCTGCAGCATGTGCCACAACAAATGCTCAGGAAAGAGTTGTTTGTTTGAATGGAAAACAAGGTTTCTCTACAGCCTGGGAAATACTTGATTGCAGTGACAATTCCTTGTGACTGGCAGGACAGGCAGATATGGTTAAAAGAGGTGCAACCTTTATGAGCAAAAGACACTGTTACACAGTTAGCATCTGTTTTGTTCAAAGGACTCTAAAGGTCCTGTCAAAGCAACTGCAAAGTTTTGCCCAGTTGCAGTTCTCTCCCTTCCCCGAGGTCCCACGAGAGAGAGGAGTGGAGGAAAAACCCTCTGGGTTCAGGTGTGGGACTGCTGGGGAGCAGCAGGTCACGTTGGGACAGATGCAAGGTTAAAGACCTGCACCAAAAGCTGGGATTTGCTTTGCTTTGCTTCTGAGAGGTTTGCTACCAATGCTTGCAAACTGCCTGGCATTGGTTTCAGAACAGATCTAAATAAAGACTGCATAGATAGCCTGTCTGCCAGAAATAGTAAGTATTGATCTAAAACAATTTTTAGAGATGTTGCTGGCATACTGAAGCCAGCACACGAGCTACTTGGTTCAGCACTTGCATGGACTGCAAAAATGGAATAATTTTTGTTCTGAAAACATTACAGGTTACATGTTAGAATTGTTCTCGATATAACCTTATGGCTCATGAAAAGTATCCAAACACACTATCTTCCATTCATAATGGAAAAGAGGAATATCTTCTTTCTTTTGAAAGTGTAGAGCAAATTTATGGTGACGGCTATATTCCAGTGGCCAATATTCTGCTTTTCAGGAACTCACATCAGTGAATCCTGTGGAATTCTATTTTGCACTTGTTTGTCAGTGAGAATCCTGAATTGCATAGTTCTGAGAGCAATGAGGTACATGATCACAAATATAATATCTCTGCTATTACCTGTTGCTAAATAAGTATCTTATAGCTCAAGCTGCTGTAGTGCAAGATTAAATGCTGGATTAAGGGCATGGGATGTGCATATGGGGTCTCTTTGGGGAGTATTTGATTAGCACACAAGTTGTAATATAGACTTACAGCTTTTTTTTTGCTTAGAGTCATTATAACTTAAGAGCTGCATTGTACACTGTACAGGTGTGGATATGTTACATGGTGTTGGTGAACTTGTTAAAAAAATACTTGAAATGTTTTTCTTTCTGAAAATATTGAAATTCAGCGCAACTTCCTTGTACCCTAAAGGAAGCAACTGAATTGTACATATTTAAAGTGACAGAAGGGTGCCCTAGAATAAAAGTACAGAGTTTTAGGCCTAGTTCTGGAAGTACAGGCACAGCTGAAAGAACAAACCTAAATCCACTGATCTCTGTGGGACAAGTTACTCAATTAACTTGTTATAATATGCTCACTTTCTGCTGGAGTAGGAACTTCATTATGAATATGTTTACCTCTTTGCTCAAGCTTAGCCTTATGATGGAAGAAGTCTGAACCTGGTTGACTGCAAGAATTTTGAAAGCACTGCTGTTAAGTCTTGTTAACTCTGGCGCTTCTAGTTCAACTAAGAGAATTTGGTGGATGTCATTATTTAAATGCAAGTGTTTTCAGAATGACATCTGCATAAGTGAACTCACATGGTCTAATGTTCTTGTGGAGGCAGCAGTAGAAAGAGTTGGAACAGTTGCTCAGCCCCCAAAGCAGAGAAAGCCTCCAGATGGGACAAATAAGTCACAGGAGGACTGTCTTTCCACACCCACTGTATCAAGCCTTTAATTCCCAAGGACATGAAAAAGAGAATCGGGGAAAGAGAAAATAAAGATGGGATACACTGGGAAGAATCTGGAAAAAAGCAAGAACTCTGAAAGTCAGAGGTTCACAATTTGTTGAAGTCTTACAGAAGATGCTTACAGCAGTGGTCATCTGTCAGAGTAGGTGATCCCCATTTCCATCCTGACCAGGCCATCTTCGGCCTCTGCTTAGCTCATGTTACTCATGACTCAGTTTTGCACTTCTTTACTAGTTTTTCCCTTGACCTGCAGTTTAAAAAGGAAAATCTGACCCTGGTTAGTGTTCTTCTCTCTATGCCTGGACTGTTACTGTTCTAACACAGCACTGTAACCACCTTGCCTTCTCTGTAGGGTGAGCTTTCCTCGATATGCAGAATCAGACAACGCTCTCTGTGTAGCTGCTAGAGCACAAGGAGGCATTAAGAGCCTCCCATTCCTTGGGTGCACCCAAAATAGCAATTTAGACAAGAAGTTCTCAGCAGTTGGCTGCACAGGGGATTCAGTCATCCACTCTGTTTCTGAGGTATTTCTCTTGCCTCCCTCCAGCCTCGCAACGTTGCCGGTTTCCGAGGAACCGTCCGCTATGCCTCCGTGAATGCACACAAAAACAGGGTGAGTATTTTGAAGTTATAAGGAGTTACCAGTAAGATAATTCCCCCTCTGAGACCTGTTTTCAGGAGTAAAGGAGCAAGAGGTGAGAGTTCTGCTTTGTTATCTGTGGAAGTTGTATATCAGGAGATTTCCATTAGGTAGTTAAGGGTGTTGACTGTAAAATCAAAATTATGCTTCGCTTATTGGGTCCTCTATAGTTGGCAGACTTTAAAATTGTAATTATTGTATTATCAGACACTTTTTGAGGGCAATAAGCCATACTGAAGGGGAAATCTGGTTAAGTTCCAGGCTGCTTGCTGCTAGTTTCTAGCAGAACTTGGCCAGGAATTACCAAGTGCCAGGTCCCCAGATCCATTCTTGATCTGTAATTTTTAATATTACCATCATACCATCAGGAGAAGAGCTACCTGGTGAAAGCTGGGGTTTTTTTTCCTGAACCATTATTTAGATAGTGTCTGGCCTGTTTCATTATAAATGCTTCTAGAGGCTCATCTAACATTCTTCTCAAAACACTCCTCTCTCCTATTTCAGTAGTGTTCCTTTGCAGACAATAAACAGTAAGTTTGGACAATACTCTCAGGCATAGGGTGTGATTCTTGGGGTGTCCTGCACAGGGCCAGGAGTTGGACTGATGGTCCTGATGGATCACTTCCAACTCAGCATCTTCTATGGTTCTAAGTTCTGCATTTCTGCTGCCAGATGGAAACTGTCAGCCCTCCTGCATTACCTCCAGGTTTCTGGCCTTAGTTGGAATGAAATTGTAGGATTATCTGTGACATACAAAGAAATGTCAGGTTTTTTTAGGGAAGGAGCAAGTTATTGTCTACAAAAGGTGGAAAGTGTGATGTGGGGAGGGCAGCTGAATGCCATCATAAATTCTTTCTCTTTCTTAAGAGACACAGAGAAACCTGAGGTATAATTTTTGCAAGAGCTGAGTAGGCCCAGCTGTAGCTGGCATCAGCTGAATGTATATTTAGACACAAAAATTGCTGTATAATGCAGGCTATTTTGAGAAATCATATCCTAGACATTGGAAGGCATTGAGCACCAAAAATGAGTTCATGTGCTTTGACAATTTCAGCCTTTATCCCCATGTTTCCATTTCCCATTCACTAACCCAGGAGGAGAGTTGTATGTGGAAATGTTATAAATCTCTAAATTGTTGTGGTGCATGATGGTGAGTCTTTTGCAAAAACTCTTGAACGGATTTGAATTATATTTAGGCTTAAAAATAATAATAATAAATGTGTTGTATATACAGTTTGGGTTTTTTTTTTAATCTAGGTTATTGCATGTCCCGTTAGTAAATATGAATCTTTAGCCTTTAATTTGGCTTTTTTAATCATTGACTGGGAAGTATGACTTCTCTTCCTGCCCTTTAAAATGAGGTAGCTCATCTGGAGAGTACACCTGGACCCCTCAGCCATGGGGAACTTTGCTCCTCAGTCTTGCCTTTCTTTTTCTCCAGGAGATGGGCAGACACGATGATCTGTGGTCCCTCTTTTACATGTTGGTGGAGTTTGCTGTTGGTCAGCTTCCATGGAGAAAGATCAAAGATAAGGTAGGAAAACTGGTGTCTGTGCTTAAAAGAGGGTGCTACATTTTAATTATTATGACTCTTTATTATTCCTCCTGCAGCTCAGTGCAGCTTTTTTTCTGGAGTCAAGCCAGAATCTCCTTTTCATCAGGTCTTGCTGCAAGCTGCCAACCTGCTTTTGTGTGTTCTGATACACAGGGTGGGCTTCTCTTATTTTGAGTAATCAGACATTTTTTGATGAATATTGTTAATCACATTTGATCACATGGTTTTTACTTTTTTTCTTGCAAAGTAAACAATACAAGTGCAAAGACTGAGCTGTCCTTTTGACAAATAAAAAGAGCCTTTAGAAAGACAGGAGGGAAATGCCTTGCTGTGCCAAACAAGCCAAATGGGATTTGAAATTAGAAAGTTAAACAGGTGTTCATGTTGTCTTGGAAATACTTTGTGCTAAAGAATAAAATCCCTGGAAAGAAATAGGTCACCTGTGTGGCAAGCTTCTGACTCAAGATTCCCCTTTCACCTCTGCCTGCAGTGCTCAAGATCCTTGTGCCTTGAACAGCAAACAGGAGGAGTGTGTAGACACTGTGCAGGGTCTAGGAAGAGTCTGTATTCCAGGAATAATAAGTCTTCATAATTGTGAAGCAATGGAAGAGATTCTTGGCTCTGAAATGTTTTTGTTTGTTTGTATTGGTTTTTTTCCAGGAGCAGGTTGGCATGATAAAAGAAAAGTATGAACACCGAATGCTGCTAAAACACATGCCTTCAGAGTTCCACCTTTTCCTGGATCACATTGCAAGCCTAGACTACTTCACCAAGCCAGACTATCAGGTGGGAGCCTGTTACTTTGTGATGCTTGGCACTATAGATTGGCATTTAGATTTTTTAACATTTCCGTGAATGTGTTTATATCTGTCTGAGTATTGGTGAGGGAGAGAGATAGGCAAGACTGACTGGTGATCAGAATCCAAATTTATTGTGGACTACATATGCTTATATACTGTTCTAGGAAGGCTAGTAATTTTTTACTACAATGATTGGGTTAATCATCACAGAACAAACTTACACATTTTGCAACATCTCTTGCTTGTAGAAGTTGATTCAATCTTTTTTCCTGTCAGCCAGTCTTGATTCAATCTTCAAAACTCTGTTCTTGACAAGGTATCCTGATTATCAGATCTCTTGTGTTAATCAGGTCTAAAGTACTCTCTGTCTTGTGTGCCCAACAGCTGAGGAATACCTTTCCTAGAACCAGGAAAAAGAGGCTGGACTGTACAGTTCTTCAAAAGCTCAAGAGTTCCTTCATCTCCTTCCACCATCCTGTGCAAAATAATCCTGAACTCCACACCAGATAGTTCATCCCAAACAACACAGTACTTTTGGCTTTCATTAAGACAAAAAAATTTTGAGGTACTCCAAATGTGGCAGAACTTTGGCACAGCATGCCAAGGTCTAAGAGCCTGCACTGATAGTTCAATGGTGTACACCAACCCCTTTGATTTCTTGCAGATTTTTATAGGCCTTGGCCATTATTATCTCTTTCTTTAATATTCATCTAACATAGGGTTCTTCCTCCCATTCAGTGTTTGCTGTCAGCCTGTATGTGAGTAACTCAGACAAACACAACAGAACTGAAGCAACTTGATTCTGTGTTGCTTTTCTTTATCACAGTGGTTTTCTCTGTACATTAAAGACAGTGATGGAAGCAACATTTTATAAGCAGATCTGTGCAGTCTTATCTGAGTGCCTGGTCCTGTTGATAGTGCATCAAATGAGTGGGAAAGTGGTAGGAGGTTGTTCCAACAAACTCTCTCCAGCAGTGCCTTTGTGGTTTAGCCATGTACATGTTGTAACATAGCAACCACACATTTTTTAAAAATTAAAAGGAAAAGGCGAATACTTTCTACATAGTGCAGTGGAAAAATAACATTTGCCACTAAGAGGGAGAGCTACAGAGGGATGGAAGTGGACTGATGAGATGCAGAGGGAGCTGGATTTGTTTGTCCTAGAGTAGAGAAGTCAAAGAGGGGATCTGATTGCTCTTTCACTGCCTCAAGGGACAGTTGTGGGGAGAATAGAGGCAGCAAGGGAAATTGTGACTAAATCCAGCAGGGGGGTGGAAAATTCAGAGTGTGGGTTCTTATATAAAAAACAGGTACTTAGAAAAGCTGTGGAATTTCCATCCTTGGGGATTTCCAAAGACTGGCTGAATGACAAATATGATTTGCCTTTTAATTAGCTCTGCTTTGAGCAGATGGTTGGATTAGAGATTTCCAAAGCTCCCTTTGTACCTACATGCTCCTATATTCTATTCCAGCTTAAAAGAATTGTGTCCTAATGATACCAAAAAGCCATCCTTGAGACTGAAATGGAAGGAGATGTTTCCAGACAGAATTCAAGCAGTACAGCTCTTTCACAGTAGGGCATTTGACTGAAGCTGTGACTTGCCTCTTTACCTTCAGTTTCTTGCAGGTACAGCTTGGGCAAGAAGCCTCCAAAAGGGAACTCCCCACAAAAGTCTGGCATCTGAAGCTTGCCACTTCTAGCTTGACTTGGAGACCTATTCCAGACAGCAAATTCTCCAAGCATCTCAGCTTCAGAGATGTCTATATGTTGATTTATCTGGATGTATTACTCTGAAATATTAAGAACTATACCAAAGGCCATTTGAATTTGTCACCAGTATCAGACCCACGGAGAAATAAAGGAAATGTCATGCTGAGTGGCAATTTAATTACAGCTTTGAGTCCTTGAGATGATGTCTCCAAGAGACATGTACCAAGCTGTAACAGGACACTAAGTGTGACCAGAGATCACTACTCTCTGATGGATAGATGACACAAGTTTGCCTAAGCAGGAGAAAGGAAAATGATGGTAGAATAAAATAGACTTGAGCTGTCAAGTGATGGATCTTATACCCTGTGTTTTTGTACTTCTTGGGCTCGTGTCCTCAGATGTCAGGTCTGTCCCTTTAATGGATCGCTTCAGTGTTGGTTCATGGTTAGGATCAACCTTTCAGCACTTTCACAGCAGGAGGATGTGGGTGTTAGAGCAGCATTTTGGGGTTTTCTGACTCATTTGACAGCAAGAGGCATGCCTCTTCCCTGGAAAAGTGCAGATAGGATGTAGTAGAAAATATTTTGTACTACACTTGCATATAGTCCAGCTGGTAGAAGAGCAGTTTCAGGTGTGGCTGGCTTTTCTCTCCAAAGATCTTTTTGCAATGAGTATCAGCAAAGTAATAGTGACCTTTTCTCCTGGAAGATTACAGAACTTTAAAGAGCAAAGACAAGTGCCTTTGCCTGGGAATCCATCCTATTCCCTCAGCTAGGGCATTGTGAATTGCATTTCAGTCAAGGAAAAATGATCACATCAGCTGTTGTTGTCTGACAGAATGGCTGTCCTGTACACATCCTGAGCAGGTGTGGAAAGGTGAGTTTCCTATATGGACATCCTTCTTTAGATTCAGTCAATACCAGATATTGTCAGAGCAATTGGGAGAGGCTCCCTGTGAACAACCAGTGCTGGTGTGAGTTCTCTCATGCTGACCAAGTCTGGTGGTTTAGCTCCAGCTGGCAGCTGTGTACCAGGCAGCTGCTCACTCACTGTACCCCCTGCACAGTGGGATGGAGAGGAGAATCAGAAAAAAAAAAGAAAAAAAGAAAGAAAAAAACACAGGTTCAGACAAGGACTGTGCATTAGTTGAAACAAATAGAATATAATAATCAAAATTGTAATTAAGAAAAAAGAAAAAAATAAAAGTAATAGAAAATCAAGTGATGTAAAATACAATTGCTTGATGCCCAACCAGTCCCCAGACAGCAATTGGTCCCTTCCAGCCAACTTCCCCAGTTTATATACTGGGCATGACACTCTATGGCATGGAATATCCCTTTGGCCAGTTTGGGTCACAGCTGTCCCAGCTGTGCTCCCTCTCAGCTTCTTGTGCAGCTCTCCACCAGCAGAGCATGGGACACTGAAAAGTCCTTGAATGAGGGTAGGCACAACTGAGCAATGGCCAAAACATCAGTGTGTTATCAACACTGTTCTCATCCTAAATGCAAAACACAGCACTGCTCCAGCCATTGGGAATAAAATGAACTCTATTCCAGTTGGAAACAGGACAGCAAGTAACTAGATATCTTCCATCATAGTCCTAGTGTTTTCCCCCTGGAAATTCTTGTAGGACTTACAAACACAAATCAGGAGCATTCCCTTATCAAAAGGGGACCTCTGCCACCAAAGAGGTATGCCTGATATTTATTTTTAAATACTGTGTTGTAGATTACAGTGCAGATTGGAAACTTGATCAAGAGCAATTTGCTATGCCCAAAGTTTCTGCTGAAAGAGTCCATCTTCTTAGATAAACCCCAAAGAATTCAAGGCTTGAGCGCCTGGACAATCCATAACTGGTTTGGTACATTTTATATGTGATATTTCAGTATTGATTGTGATTTCTTTCCTGAGCCTTGGCCAGGAGAAGCCATTTGACAAGATGTATCATGACAGCTTAGTGGGTAATTTGTGCCCCATTGGCTGCTTCCCTCTCATTCTCTGGGCCATCAGCCCAAAACATGGCATGCTACTACATAATGTGCAATTAAGCTTTATGTCCTCATGGACAGTAACATCTTTAATAGAGAAACATACTGGACCTCTTCTTTATCAAAAGAAGTCTTAATCAAAACTAGTGGGTTTGATACTCAGAGTTGGAATTGCACATTGTCTTGTCCAGCAGAAGGAAACTCAACATGGGAGGCTTGCAGTGACTATGGAAACTTTTCTGATTCTTAATATTCTGTCTGTAGGCAGATGATCCCTGGACAGGATCCAGTGACTTTTTACATGGCTTTCCAGGAGCAGTGGCTGTTGCTGGGACTGTTCTGTGCAGTTTTCCACTCCACTTCTCTCCTTGTAAAGCTTTGACCTTTCATCAGGAGTATAAAGGTTTCAGAGAAAGCTGAGAAGACTCAGTAAGTCCATTAAATAGCTTTAGAATAATGGCAGGTGAAGGTACCTGTATCCTTCAGCCATGGAAAAGGATCCTACAGGGAGTACAGTAAAGGGCTGTAAAATCCCTAATGGCCTGCAGAGTCAAGTGCAAGACTTACAGAATAAGTTATAGCAGAAAGTAACAAAAGTTGTTTCAACTGAGTGAGTCCTTAAAGGGATGCTAAGAATAAGGCAGCTGAACATTTAATTTTATCATGTGGTTTCTTACTTCAGACTGCTTCAGTGTCAAAGGAATGGAAGGTGGCAGAAGCAGTATCAATTTTTAAATAACTTCACAAGATACCACTCCCTGATACTGACATGTCCATCACAAAGAATCAAAAGCTGTGATGAGACTGGCAGTAGTGGACAGATGGGTGAGGATGATCTAATGAACAGAAGCCAGTATGGCTTTTATAGAGGCATCTGTCTACAAATGTGTGGAGCTCTTGCAAGGCATCTTTGAGTTTGTGAGGATAATAATTTCTAAAAGATATTTGACAGTAATCATTTCCAAAGTAGCAGTCAGAAAACAAATACAATCCTTAGAATTTCCTGTGCCTTGGTCTGATTGACACCCAACTCTGGAAATTCTGTTAATCAAATGTAGTATTACCACAGGAGCGTGCACCTGATTCTAAGGTTCTGGGTCACAGAGAGGAGGAAAAAGTTGGCTCATCTGAAAGCTGCAGAAAACTGCATTTTTCTGCAGTTTGATGGAAGGTAGTGGGAAATGGCAGGCTTTCCTGTCCTTCTGATCATGCTGATAAACAGAACTGGAATATAATTGCAAATAGGATGTTTGCTCATGCTAAATTTTATTCATAACTTAGTGTTGATTCTACACCATAAGCTGAATGTTTTTGCCATCACATTGTCTCTCCCTGCAGAGGGAAACTGACAGGCTGAATCTTGTCAGTTCTGCATTATTTAGCTAAATAATTTTATTAGAAATGTAGGACCTCACAGCTCTGTTAGCCTACAGCATCCAGTTTCCTTTTGACAGCAGAACATCAGATTTCTCTGCTAATGCATTGGTGCATGGAGAACTATTGACAGTAGTTTCATTCTCTCCTAGAGGATACCAGTTCTTAGAAAAGGAACAAGCATGGAGCACATCAGCCACGAGCATTTGTACCTGCCATCTTATAAAGAGAATTGTATTATTCTTTTTAGAGTTTTATTTCCTTAGGCAGCCAAGTGTGTCAGGCCATGTTGTGCACATTAAACACAACGTAGGGCTCCTGACTAAGCCATATTTCAGCCAGACACTGCAATGAGTCTGCATCCTAGGGCTGCCTTTCCCTGTTCTGTTTATGTCTTCTGGCAGCCCCTGAACTCTGCATATCAAATGTACTGTTCTGCATAATGTACTGTCTAATCTAGAGGAAGGCTGAATTGAAGTTATGGATTTAGAATTGGAGTAACAAGCTAACTGCAAGATTTTATTGAATCAGTGTCAAAATGTTGCATGCATTTCTTTTGTAGGTTTAAAGAAACGAAGCCAAAACCAACCTGAGAAACAACTGTTGCAATTTCATAAGTTTTCCTTTCATTTTTTAGCACTTTTCATGGGCAAACTGGAGATGATAAGATGCACTTGATCCTCGTGCACATACTCCAGATTTTTGGTGAGAGCCACTCTCACCTACTTACCAGAAATTGTTCTTGCAAATCTATTCCAGCTAATCATGTCGGTTTTCGAGAACAGCATGAAGGAAAGGGGCATCACTGAAAATGAAGCCTTTGACTGGGAGAAGGCTGGTACAGATATCTTGTTGTCCACTAGCACCTCAACTCCACCACAGCAGAACACCAGGCAAACAGCAGCCATGTTTGGGTGAGTGTTGTAGTTGTACCAGTCAGACAGTGCACAACAAGCTCAGTTCTTTTTTTAAAGATTTCAAGGCCATTATGATTCTGGGAAGGTGGAACAGCATAGAAGGCACCACTTGATCTGACTTTTTTGATATTAATTTATGTCTGTGGTGGTGGATAGTGAGTTGAGTACAGCTGAGTGCATGCTCTGCTCACACCTCCAGCACAGCTCCTCAGCCTGTTCACTATGTCTTTCATGTGCTGCTGCAAAGGTACACAGAGACTGATGCTCAGAGGTACAGATGAGTCCAAATAGAAAAGACTTGATTAGAACTGGTTTTCACTGGTCTGTCTTGGTGCTTTTGGGGGGCTGACATTAGGGGATAAAAATAATCCCTAGTAATGTTATGGAAGATAAAAACTGTAGGGCCTAGTAAGCCTCATTTGCTCGTGCAGAAGGAGAGGTTTCTTCACAGCTCAATATGGTGTGGTGGGCACTTGTGAAGGAGTTTTCAGCCTGTGTATCAAGGGTCCCAAGATGCTTTCACTGATCCATCCTACTGTCTTTGTAATTTTCATTACACGGAATCCTCCTGTTCTGATTCAGGATGTCACATCTGGGACTGCCTGTTTTTCAACTAAGTAATACCCTAAAATCTGCTGAGGAATTCCTGTGGGGTGATGTAATAAGCTGCCTTCTTTATAGGCTGATAATTTTACCTTTCTTTTTGTCTCTTTTATAGGGTGGTTAATGTCACTCCGGTACCCGGGGACCTGCTCCGTGAGAACACCGAGGATGTCCTGCAGGGGGAACATTTGAGTGATCAAGAGAATGCTCCTCCCATCCTGTCAGGTCGGCCAGTGGAAGGCCTTGGGCAGGCTCCAAACACGGCTTTCAACGAGGGTGAAGTTTGGGAAGAGACAGATGTGAATCGCAACAAACTCAGGATCAGCATCAGCAAAGTAAAGAACATTTCCTTGTCTCCTGTGACTCTTGGATGTAGGGCAGTGGTTTCACAGACTGCTAGAAGCCACTCAGATCCACTGATGTAGCAGGCTATGTAGTAAGCCCAAAAAGCCTTGAAGAATTCTCCTGTGGCAAGGGGAATTACAAGGAATTTTTTCACAGAGTAAAAGCCATTGGGATTAATTTCGATCTTTATGCAAGTAAGATTTTGGGGGCCAGTAATGCTAAAGTGAATCTTTTCTGCCATCATATCATTATCTAGGTTTTTGATACTTCAAGCAAGGAAATTCTAGTCCTTGCATAGCTGATATAAGAAATGTCCCAGGCATGGAAATCAAAAACCAAAACGTTACTGTGTCCCAAGCTCTTGTGTTACTATAGGACATGAAACAACACAATGCACACACACTGCTGTTCTTAAGGTGAAAAAAGGGAAGTTTCTTTGCTGACTCTAACATTTATAGATTTTAAAAGTGACAGTGGATTGGAGGGTGAAAGTGCTACTTTTCTAATAACACTGGACAAACCAACAGTCTATCAAATTTTGCTTCTTCTATAAAAGAATGCAAAACAATAAGTTATTTACAGAAAGTGTGTGAGAAAGTTTGTTACAAGAATGTAAACATCAGAAGGCTTAGAAAATCTTAAAAAATCAGGGTGACACTCTTGGGTAAATAAATGTAATCAGAGATGTCTTCATAAGCTATATTTTTCTGTATGTAATGTAATCAGAGTTGTCTTCATAAGCTGTATTTTCTTTTTTGAATCATCACTCATTTTTCTCTTCCTTTTTTTAAATTTCTTTTTTAAGGCTAGGAAAATCTATAGGGAGCATCTAACTATGGTTTCCCCCCTATCAAGAGTGAGAGAAACCATTACTTAATATTCTTATATTTCTGTGTTCCAAGGTCATATTAAGCTTTTTTAGCTCACATAAAATGTATACTTCAATTAATTTTCCTCATAATCACTAAGGTATTTCTCAGTCCTTTCTTGTAAATGTTATCTCATTTCTTGAAGGTATCCCCAGTGAAGGTTGATTCCATGTTAAATGTCAAGTATAAGAACCTGACAGTTAGTTTATTAATAAGGTTAATTTACATACTGCAAGTAAATTCAGATTAGTGGCAGGTCATCAGATACATACGGATTCTGTTAGCAGAGAAACATTCATCAGACTTAAAATGTTGTCAGGGCTTATCAGATTCACATCACAAACCTGTTTTTAATGGACATTTGTAGACTGGCATGTTAAGTGTGTTAGTCTTCTGAAGCTGACCAGAATTCACTTCAGTCTCTACTAGTACAAAGTTAGTCCTTATTTCAGCAATATAGGTATCTCCACTATCCTTAGTCTTCTTAGAAATGCATGGACAAGAAATAATCTAATTTACTTAAAATTCTCCAGTGCAAATAATTCAGATCAATGTGTTATCTGTATGAAACATTAGCAGAGAATTCCCCAACACTGAGAAATTATGAATGAAGTTAAAATTACTTCTTCATCTCTCACTGGTAACTCTGCATTCCCAGAAGTTTTCATTTGAAGGTATATGAAATAGGAAAAGCCTGATGGAGAGGGACAGTTCTGTTCGCACAACATATATTAAAAAAAAAAAAAAAAAAAGAGAATATTACAGAAAAATCCTAGCAACTTTTGTGTGTTTTTCTTTGCATTTCTACCACCAGGTGCTTTGATGCTCTTCAGTCAGACTTTTCACAGGGGAGTCCTTTCTGCGTGCTAGTTGTGTGTTCTCTCTTAGGTTCCTCATTCACAAGTCCTGTCATAACAGCAGCTAAAGGCAAGAGAGGTTTCTAGAAGCTCCACAGCACAGCCAGGTGACTCTCGTGCCAGGCACTGTGCTATTTGTTGTCAAGCTGCTGCCAAAGGAGCTTTGGGAGTTTCTCAGCATGGCAGGGAGCACTTCAGCTCTGACAGGTTCTGTAGCTACACAGCAGCCTGTGCAGCAAAGCCCACAGCCCAGGGCAGCAAGCTGTCCAGGCCTGAAGTCCTTTCTTTGAGGGTTTTTATCTTTAGTTTGACTCTTGCCTGTCCTTTTGCTTTGCTAGACTTACTGTCTTCAGTCTGACTGTTCTCTGAGAGAGGATTGGTTTAGATTTAAGTAACAGTGACTACATGGAGAAAAGAAGGATGCTTCCAATTTGATACCTAAGGACACAGCTCTACCTCTGCTTGTAATCTGATGCATCAGAACCACAGGGGCACTGGTGTGTTTAAACACCCTTCTGCTATTCACAGCATCACATCCTTCATCTTCCAGTCTTGTAGCACTAGAATTAATTGGCTCTCCCTGTCCTGCTCTTTGTGTTTAGGAGATGAGTGGAGCTTGCCATGGTTTTTCTCCCTAATAACTGTCTAAGATGATCCTTACTTCTCTGTGCAGACAATTCGGATCTCCTTCTGTCCCACTTCTCCCATTTTTGTGTTAAGGACAGAACTACTCTCACTGTTCTCCCACACCATCCCCCAGTTCTCTGCTCTTGAGTCTTACCAAGTTGATGCTACCCAACAGTTACATCAGCACTTTGCTCCCTTCACAAACACATTTGACCTTTGTTTGTTGCTAACCTTCTCCTGGCCATGACTGGATTACAGATTAAATCATTATCATCTATTCTGCTTTTCCTCTAATGCTTGAAAGTTCTCCTCCACTCTCCTTAGCAGCAAAAGCTCTTTAGTTATGCATTCCAACTCCAGCTTGGGTGGTTTAGGTCTGCTAATTTATGGGCACTGACTGACTTATGGGCACTGCCACGTACACATTGCATGCACAAGGCAGCTGTCTGGATCAAAAGTGTTTCACTGAGATGCTGCTTGTGTTCAGACCCTCTGGCATTAATGGGGGACAAGGGGAAGTAGGGCAGGGAAGGGTAAGCATTCTCCATACAGACCCCCACACATAGGCAGTGTGTAGCAGCTGATGCTGCATGACTGGCAACACAGCAGTGTTGAATCCAAATCCTGTGCTGCTGCTGTGCTTTTGCCCCTCTCTTCCAAGGAAAATCAGCACTATGGAAGGCAGAGGGCAGCTGTGTTGGTCACCTACTTTTGCTCCTTTGTTTGCTGCTAAATTAAAAAAAATGAAATCTAATAAGGCAGTATGAAAGAGGAAATATGGAATGATATAATGTCCATGAGTGTGTTCACCTCCCTGCATGACCTTGGCTCTGTGGAAAGCTCTTACAGATGTTGTGGTTGAATGGATATTGTGGAAGACTTTGTTTAAAGGACCAAAATTAAAACAAACAAACAAACAGAAATACAAACAAAAACCCAAACCACCCTGCTAATTAGGAGATGCCTTACTCAGACCAGATGTAAAAGTGTGTACATTGCAATGTAATGCCTGGCCCCTGATAAAATGAATGTTGACAAACAAGGCTCTTAGGCATCTTGGACAAGCAATTAGGGTTTGTGTATGCAGTAGGTTGATCCATGAGAACTCCTTTGGATCAGCACTCAGGGTAATTGAAATGCACAGACCACCTTGTAAAGATGTTAAATATTTAGAATGGATTTTAAATCCATACCTTATTTTAATGCCAGCTGATTGCCAGGGCAGAGGGACCCTGCCTCCCTTCAGACATTGCTTGTGTAGATTGTGAACTTGCAGCTAAAAGTGTATCCTGGGAGAAAGTCCAGAGCAACAGTGAAGGATGGAAATCAATGTCTTTGGCCAGATCTTGAAGTTCTTTGTGTTTACCCCCTCCAGACTCAGTGCATGGTGGAAGAGGAGCAGAGAAATGGGGTGTGCCCCAGTTCCCCTGTCCGAGTGCCTCCGGAGTCCCCGACCGCACAAGTGCGCTCCCTCCGCTACCGCCGCGTCAACAGCCCCGAGTCAGAGCGGCTCTCCACAGCTGATGGAAAAGCAGATCCACATGAACGAAGGTTTGTTCACCCTCTGTAGCCTCCTACTGCTTTCAGCAGAGTCTTGAGGATTCACTCTTGAGACCAACCTAATCATTAGACCAGCAGCCAATGCTTGCAATTTTATCTACATTGCCTTTCGGTTCACCTCCTTCTCTAGTTCCCCTTTCTTTGTCAAAAATGTTGATGTTTCACACATGGAAGGCCTTTCCCCAGAAGAGTCTGTAAGCCTTCTGGATGATCCTTGTTGAAAACACACTGCAGTTGTCCTAAAATGTGGGCAGCAGATGCTCTGGCTTTGTGCAAAGCAAGCAGCAGATACAGGCCAAATGAGAAACATTGATCAGAACGTGGTTTGAGGGTTTTTTCAACAAGCCAGTCAAACTTAACAAAGGGGAAAGGTGTTGTTGGGTTGAAATGGTTATCATCCTGTCTACAGGGGAAAAAGATGCTGAATTGGCTGTCATACTTCTTCACACCATTGTAGGTTCTAAAGAAATATTGTTGTTTAAGCCTGTCTTTCTGAAGTGTACCAATAACTGAGTGAGAAGGGCCTATACAGACTTTCTCTTACGGTCGCTGTTGTTGCCTGTAGCCATGATATTTTCTGAAAAATCCTTTCTTTAGGATTTTTTCTCCTGAGAAGCCGAGAGGCCTCAGGGACAAAATGTAAACAGTAGTTATCTGCTGCTGTGGAATGCAACAGGTGCATCTGTGATTGGTCTCATGTGGTTGTTTTTAATTAATGGCCAATCACAGTCAGCTGGCTCGGACTCTCTGTCCGAGACACAAGCTTTTGTTATTCATTCCATTCTTTTTCTATTCTTAGCTAGCCTTCTGATGAAATCCTTTCTTCTATTCTTTTAGTATAGTTTTAATATAATATATATCATAAAATAATAAATCAAGCCTTCTGAAACATGGAGTCAACATTCTCATCTCTTCCCTCATCCTGGGACCCCTGCGAACACCATCACAGTTGCCCACAAACCCGATGTGTTTTGAATGGCTTCTTGTTGTGTCCCCAGGTCTCGAATGGACATCCCTGGCTCTCCATCCCGGCTCGTGTGCTCCTCGCAGCCAGCCCAGATGCTGTCCATCGACACGGGCCAGGCTGACCGGCAGGCCAGCGGCAGGATGGACGTGTCGGCCTCCGTGGAACACGAAGCCCTCAGCAACGCCTTCCGCTCCGTGCCGCTGGCGGAGGAGGAGGACTTTGACAGCAAGGAGTGGGTTATCATTGATAAGGAGACAGAGCTGAAGGACTTCCACCCCGGTGCTGAGCCAAGCACCTCTGGAACCACGGATGAGGAGCCCGAGGAACTGAGGCCTATTGAAGATGGGGAAGAGAGAAGGCGCCTGGGGGCAGATGCTGCAGTGAGGCCGAAGACTCATGATGGGCGAAGTCGGGGTATGCTGCCTGTGACTGAGGAGGACAGTTCCCATAGACATGAAGGACCTTCTCAAACAGTGTCTGACAGTAGACACGAACAGCAGACAGGAAGTCCAGCCCACTCCCCCTTACATTCAGCACCAGCCCTCCGACAAAGGAGACGAGAATCTGAACCTACTGGTCCTCAGAGACAGGTAAGATCCCTGGGTCTGTACCTTGTTGCCTATCATAGCATCGTCTTAGGAAACCTCAACTGTGCTGGAGAAGTCTTTGATTCCAAGCATGGATACTCCTGTAAAACTCTTCTGACAGTGCTGGCAAATGTTGTGAACACCTTAGAAGTGCTCCCAAAAGCCAGTGATGTCCTTCTGAGGACACACTGTTAAGAAGATCTTCCAGCCATTTCGGTTCAGGGACAAGAGGAGAGCGCAGTTGTGATTTGGGTATCTCTAGTCACTCCTTTTATGCTCTCCCACAGAGTTTTGTTAGTAACTGCTTAGCTGCATGGAGGTGTTGCTAGCAAATCTTTTCCACATAGTTTCTCAGCAACAATAGGAGTGTATTGCAAGAGAATGACCTCTAATCTAATCACACATCAGCACTGCACAGACCCAGAGCAATGCAAATCATAAAATAACTCCCTAAAATTAATCTTTCTTCTAAATACATAACAAAAAGCTCAGAGTAGCCAGCACATACATCTCATCAACCTTATTTCAGTGAGAGACATTGCTGTTACCATGTATTTACTCACAGAAATGTTCTTTACCTATTGTGTTTTTTCCATATAGTTGTAGAAGGCTTTTTTCCTTTCAGTTTTGCTTTTTTTCCTGTGGTCTTCTGATGCTATAAAGTAGTTCAGTTTTTAGTAGGAGGTGATTTATTAGATTAGCTGAAAAAATATGATGCACTAGGCACAGAGTTCCTGTCATAGCTAATCTTCTTGTTTAAGAAGAAGGCTGTCCCAGAGTGTTCAGTGCAAGAGGCAATCAATTTGTTCCCCTAAGAGTTTTTTGCTTTTTGTATTTATATGTTGATGAAGATCTCTCATGCACATGGGATCCATAAGCAAAGCAAAGAGCAGGCAAGTTTTGAGTCATGTACACAGGGATACCCTCCTATGACAGTGCAGTCTGCCTGTTCCTGTCTGGAAGATGATAATTTCGTTTCTGCTTCCCTCTTGAGCTTATTCTCCAAGGAAGTGTTCACTGGACTGGAGCATGTTAAAAGAACATCCTTCTGTTCAGGTCTTGCCCAGAATCTTCTCTTCTCTGGATCCCCAAGAGATACAAGAAGAAAACCATGAATGCGACAAGAATTTATGTAAAAGGAATCAAAGCAAATCTTTGCAAGTCACCAGGCAAGGTGTCCCCTGTTAAGGTGTATGAGCATTTACAGGAAGGATAGAAATGCTGACAGTAGGCACGAGGGCTGTCCTGCTGAGCATGGAACAGAAGCAGCCCATGCTTCTCTTAGACACTGCATTCCAGTTGCAGGGTTCCTAGGCTGAGGTGTGTGCTGTAGAAAGCCAATATGTTGAATGCCCCAGATATCTAGAAATTACACAAGGCAAGCTTGGCAGAGTTGGAAGGGTCTGTGTCAGAATTTGCTGTGGTCTGTACACTTTGGGGGTTGGTCAGTGCAAGATCTGCAACATGCAATGAACATGGTAAGAGCCAGCTGATAACCACCAGCTGTAAACAACAGCAGGGACACTTCACTGACATATTTAGTGTGGCTAAAGGAGCCTGGAGAGGCCTTCTTGGCCATAGCACGTGCACCCCTATGTGAAATGACTGGGGGAGTTGGATATGATGCAGCACAAAGACTTCTTATCACTGCACAGGGATATTTAAAGAGCAGGCAAAAAAGGTAAAATAATGGGATTGGGAGTGATTACTGGTAATATATTAGGCAGCCTTTGTTCTTCAGCAAACTGCATTTTTTTTTGTTCCTGTGTTCTGAAATACCCTCTATTAACTCTGTGGTCTAGCTTTGTACACACAGATCAACACTGGACTTCTTTAGCTGACTGGGATTTAGTGGTTCTTCCTTTGATGTCTGAATCCTTCAGTTGCCACTGCAGCTGTGCAGTGATACTCATATTTTTCCACTTGCTATCACAAAACCAGCTATTAACTCTCAAAGGGACTTGGTGCCTAAAGGGAAGTAGAAACCTCTTTTCCTTAGATGCAGCAAATATGAAGGGATGGATGGTGGGACACTAATAAGAAGTTGACCAAGGACTTAACTAATGAAAATACTGAAGGCCTCATTAGCAATGACAGATGTTTCCTGTAGCTCATGCTCGTGCTTCTCTGGGTTTGATTGAAACTGTGATTGTGTGTGTGTGTGTGTGTGTGTGTGTGTGTATAAAGGTAGGTGAGTAATGTAAATGTAGGTGAGTTACATCTTCCTTATCTTTAAATATGAACTGAGCCTGTAAGATAGGTAAAAATGTCACTAAATGCTGAAATACCATGACTGAAGTCATAGGCTTTGTTGCACCCATCTGTGACCTCATTCTGGTGTCCCAAAAGCTGGTGATCATCCCTTGGTGTCAGTAGTATACTCAATGAAAGCAAATGGGGAATTCCTGCTCTAAGGGCTTCCTTCTGTTTCTCCATTCTCTGGCTCCAGCCTGTGAGCCATCACTTGTAACTGGCAGAAAGACAGTGACTTCTGGATTGTCATAGAATCACAGCATGCCTGAGGTTGGAAGGGACCTCTAGAGATCATCTAGTTCTACCCTCTGCTCCAGGATGGATCATCTAGAGCAGGTTGCTAAGGACAGTGTCCAGTCAAAGTATCTCTGAGGATGGAGACTCCACAACCTCTTTGGGCAGCCTGTTCCAGTGTACAATTACTGTTACGGTAAAAAACTTATAAAAAATGTTTAAATGGAATTTCCTGTATTTCAATTTCTGTTCCTTTCTTCTTTTACTTTCACTGGACATCACTAAGAAGAGTCTGGATCCATCTTCCCATCAGGTATTTATAAATGTTGTTAAGGATCCCTCTGAGCCTTCTCTTCTCCAGTCTAAACAGTCCCAGCTCTCTCAGCCTCTCCTCAAATGAAAGGTCTTCCAGTCCCTTCATCATTTTTGTGACCCTTGTTTGGACTACCTCCAGCATGTCCACGTGTCTCTTGTACTGGGCAGCTCAGAACTGGAGCACAGCACTGCAGGTGTGACTCACAGTGCTGAGGGCAAGGAGCATTTCCCTCAGCCTGCTGGCTGCACTCCTGACACATCCTGAGGGGCTCTTGGCCCTTTTTGCCACAAAGGCACCTTACTGGCTTGTGCTCAGCTTAGAGTCCACCAGGACCTCCAGGTACTTTTCTGTCAAACTGCTTCCAAAACAGGTGGCCCACAGTGTGTTCTGTTCCTCCCCACTTCCCTTTGCTGAACTTAGTGAAATTCCTTTTTCTCATTTCACCAGCCTAGCCAGGCACCTCTGAATGTGAGCAAAACCTTCTGGTGTGTCAGCTGCTCCTCCCAGTATTATGTGATCTGTGAATCTGCACAAGGTACACTCTGTCCCATCATCCACGTCACTGATTAAGTTGTTAAGTAGTAGTGGCTGCATTATCAGCCCCTGGCTGCACCATTAATGACTGGACATTTTTTCCTCCAAACATGGTATTTTATGACCAGGAACCCACAGATTTCAGTCTAATTCACTATCTACTTATCTAGCCTGTATTTCATTGTTTTGTCTATGAAGATTTGATGGAGACAGTGTCAGAAACCTTACTAAAGTCAAGACCAGCAACCTCCCACCCTCTCAGCACAGAAAGCTCTTGGGTTCGTTCATCAGACATGACTTCCCTTCATATATCCATGTTGACTGCACCTTCTTTATATGTCTGGAAATGCCTTCTTCCAGGAGGATTTGCTCCATGTCCTTTCAAGCCTGACCAGCCTTTAATTCCCTGAGTTATCCTCATTTGGAACTCAGATGTTTCTTCAAATATGTCAGTCTTTGGGAAGACAGATACTGTAGCTCAAATGTGAGAGATGGTGCTGTCCTCGTTAAAACTCTGTGGGTGTAGGAGGGAGCACAGAATGATCTGATGCTGCTGTGAGGAAAGTCAAGTACAGAGGAAGCTCTGAATAGCCTGGGGGAGTTTTTGACCCAAATATTCTCACACATTAGGAATCTCCCAGTTTCAGATGACAAGAAAATGGCTGCAGTGGAGCACAGATCTCATGGGAAGACCTGGTATAAAGGGAGAACAGAAGCTGTGTCATGTTCAAGCCCTTCTCTCTGTGCACCACTCAATACATCTGTTTAACAGAGCTCTAAGGGTTTACTTTAATGTATGCATTTCAGGGATGACCTAATAAGACTCAGGGGTTTTTTTTAGGCACTAGTGTGCAGATAAAGCTTTAGAAATAGATAAAGAATGACTGGAAGAAAAGATTGAAGCTGCACTTCTGTTTACCTATTAATCCTGGCATAAGGTTGCTGTTACTGCTGGAAATAATTTACACCCATACCTCGCAATAGAATTTAAAAATCTGTCAAGTTCTTAAGTATGCTGAATAAATTCACTGATATTTGACAGGGATGGCAACTTACTGCTGCCTTCTGCAGTGAAAAGACAAGTGTTCATACATGTATGAATTTTAGAAACTATTTCTGATTATGCTCAGGTCTGTGCTCATAGGTATATCTTGACTCAGTCTCCCCTGTTGCTAGTGCAATTGGCATTTTACAAAATGTTTGGGGATTCACCTGCCTAAAACATGCCTGTCCAAATGATGTCACATCTAAAAAACCCACAAGAGAAGTGAAAAATTAAAGTGGGAGATGATATTTACTCTGCTTTACCTATCCTTGAATATATTCTGCAGGGTTCAGAGAGCATTTTGCTTTGGCTGATTCTTACAGGCCTAGAGTTCATCTGCTAGAGAAGGTCCCAGTGTGAAGAGGCACTACTATATTTTTCCTTACCAACTCAGCTGTGTAGTTAAAATCACTCTTTAAAATCATCTTGATGCTATCTTCGACATCTTTTCTCACAGAGCCAGGAGAGTGCCATAAGAGGACTTGCTTAAAATTGTCCATGTCTTGAGCCTGCAAGGGCAGCAGGGGAAGAGGTGCTGTGTGTCTTGGTTTCCTTTGCCTTCTGCAGCATCCTCTGTGGGCTGCTCTGAGGCAACCTGAGGGACCATTTCTCAGTGGTGAG